ATATATATATATTACGTGATTCTGGGTTATGTTAGCCGGGCCCTTGCCTTCCTACGCAGTTCTGCTCAATTCTAGTTTCCCTTCACTGCTCTGTCTGGGATTCCTCCCATAGAGAAGGATTTCTTTGGTAGAATTTTACCTGTGCCAATCAGCGAACAGGAGGARGGGTTTGCTCGGTACTTCTCTCTTCCCAGTAGGGGGTGRTTGTTTACAGCGCRCACACAATTTCCGGTTAGCTTCTTAGCAAAGCCTCCTTCAGTGAAGCTGGCGCACATGCGTCACTGYCAACCGTTCCGATTGGGTAAATCAGATCCAATSSTTTTAAACTTCAACAGAGGCCACGCCTCCAKGAAGCAATCGCTTCTCAGTAGCTGAGAGTCCAGACCCTCTGTATGAAGCAAAGYGAAGAACAAGGGGCTGGTTTTTACCAGRCTAGGATTATGTGCTGTGAGGCAGGACATCTGGTATGACCTGAAGTCTGCTGATTAAAGTGCCTGTGACATGAATATCAACGAAATAMAAAAAGTCAAAGAAAACATGTTTATATTTAAGAWAYTTGGCGTAATACMCATGATTTTACCCATTTTGTCACATAATTGGCAGATTTTCTTTTGAATTTTGTTCAGCTAAAGTGAAACAGGAAGTGACATCAAAGGGGAACTCTTTGAGAAAGAAAACTCCCTGGTCTTTGTTTATTGAAACAATATTATTTGAACTACGACTCTTTCTCATCTCTATATGATAGTGATTAAAATAATCTAAACATCAGATTCTTCTCTACAGTCTGTGCTGTTAGCCATTTTAGCAATGCTCTGTTTACATTCAGACATTCCCCTTTGACATCACTTCCTGTTTCTTTACATGTGAATATCTCAACTACTGTTCATCTCAGCGGCATGAAATCTTTTTTACAGTATGTTATCAGTGTTATCTTTCCAACAATGCATTCATATTTATTATAAAAATTTGATGTCACAGGCACTTTAAAGCGTGAACAGGAATGCTCCRTCACAGTTTAGATTTCTGAAGAAGTCCTTGGATTCTGAAGTGCAACAATTTACTTCAAAAGCTTTTTGTTGGAAATGTTATGTACTATTACCCAAATATTGACTAGATTTGTGTTTACATGGATTCTTTTATTCTTCCCTGACAGTTATCAAACTTACCTATAATACTAATTGTATTATTGTAATACTTAATACTCTAATAACTAGAAAAACTAACTTGTTTCCCAATTCCAGGTTCATTATACCTTTAATAAGATCCTGATGCTGCAGGAGCCTCTCCTGGTTGTCGGAGCRTTCTACATCCTCTTCTTCACCGTGATCATCTACGTACGTTTGGACTTTGCCATCACAAAGGTATGAAAGCRTGTTTTGCGTTTGCCTCTCTTCGTTGTTTAGTTTTCCTGGACCTCGGATTTTAACGTTTAGTTGTTGTCATTCGGATCTGTTATTTTTCTCGTCGTCGTTCAGGATCCTGCAGCCGAGGTGCGGATGAAGGTGGCCTCCATCACAGAGCAGGTGCTCACGCTGGTCAACAAACGTCTGGGTCTGTACCGACACATGGACGAGGTGGTCAACCGCTACAAACAATCCCGCGACACCGGCGCGCTCAACAGCGGCCGGAAGACTCTGGAGGCCGACCACCGGCAGCTGACCAACGAGATCACCTCGCTGCAGGCCCGCCTCAAGACCGAGGGCTCCGACTTGGCTGAAAAGGTAAGAGTTTTCTTTTCTTTTTTTTTTTGTGGGTGTTTTTAAAGTTGCAGCTGAGTTGACCCCCCTCCCTCCCTCCCTCCTCAGGTGGCAGAGGTGCAGAAGCTGGATGGGCAGGTGAAGGAGCTGGTGTGCCGCTCCTGCTCGGAGGCGGAGCGTCTGGTGGCGGGTAAAGTCAAGAAGGAGGCGTACATCGAGAGCGAGAAGAATCTGACCAGCAAGAGGCAGGAGCTCATCGGCCGCATCGACAGCCTTCTGGACGCCCTCTAAACTCCCGCATTCCGCTCAGAAACACACAAGCCCCGCCCCCTACCACCACCACGTTTAACAAAAACCAACAGTTCAACAAAATGTGACACAGTTTACAGTTTTTCTTTTTTTTTTATTTTAATTTTTACCATCCTCTCATCCAGACACGAACTGTTAACTCTCATCTTATTGTAGTGATGGGTGATCTGGACACGTGCCTTTGGGTCTGGTGATAAACTGTGGTCACTGCATGCTCCGCTCCAAAGCAGCTACATCGCAGCTTTTTGGCTTTTTAGTTTCTGTATTTTATTTGAGCTAACCTCAAACCTTGCTCCACCGGGCTCAGATTTGACTCTGTTTTTTTTGTTCAGATCAAGTTTTTTTTTTTTTTTTTTTTTGTGTTATTATTTTTTTAACCATAAGGAATGTATGGTTAGGGTTCTGATTTGGTAATGAATAGTTAAAGGGCCAAAGTGTTTCTGGTTTCATGTCTTTACTCACATATACTGTATTCTAAAACTGAAATATTTTTTTGGCTTTAAGTGTGAAAACGATGGTATTTTCTAATCTTTTTTTTTTTTTATTTGCCCTGGACTGTCATTTTTATTTGACCCTCTGATTCTGTCCTTGTCAACTTATGTTTTTGATGGACTCGCTTGGTCATAATTTCTACATTTTGTATGATTTTTTTGTTTTGTTTTCTTATTTGGGACAGTGAGATTAAAAACAAGAAAAGAGATTAGATTGTATGAGAGAAAAGACATGAATGATGCAAAACAGGCATTTGTCAAATAATGCAATGATGTGGGTCACTGTCAAATTTGGAATAAAGTTTTGAGAAACTCATCTTTTGTGGTAGTTTTTGATTATTTTCCTTTGATGGATCTGCAGTACCTGTGGTTCAACACAAGAGTGCAGCATGCACAATAAAACTTAGTGAATGGAGGCAGTTTTAAACAAAAACAACAACAAAAAAAAAAGAATTGCTGAAAATGCACAAACAATTTCACTCACGAATTTCAAATTTATGTTATGCAGACAAATAAGGCTGTGCCACTTTTCACTGGTTAGTGCCTCCTAAATGTTGCCCCTCAGAGGGAATTTCCTGCACATTGTTGCATTCGTTGTTTCAGTGTTACTCCACCTTTCAGCCTGTCTCCTCCTCAGCCATCGGAACAGCAGTCCTGCCTCCATTAAAGTCTGGGCTCAAGACAAACATGAGGGTCAGTCTGAGGTCACCGCTTTCCCTGAGAGGTCATCAGGGGTCCCAGTGGGTCATTTCCTGCTCCATAATAACAGCCTGGCTCCTCTCACAATGATGCCGTTCACATATTGTATGCCCCGTACAATAATCATTCTGAAAATACACGGCAGCAAGAAACCAAAGACAATGTCCGTCAGCGCTGATGCTTGGGGGGATGGTGGTGAAAGGGCACACAATGGCACTTTTTTTTTTGTTTTGTTTATGTGTTTGTGCTGGAGTGTAGAAATTTCATAGAGCCGCGGAGTCTCATTCTCACAGTGAGGCGACAACTACCTCAACACCAGTGATCAAAATGTTGAGCTCATGTCTGCTCTCTAATCTGCAACAATCAGATCACTGTGAGCTCATTGGTGAAATGAGTTGATCTCAGTCAGACCTAAAGATTGTTTTAAGATAAATTGTTGACAGCTCTCCAACTATGGATCTCTACATCTTGGAGAAATAAATGGGTTATTGGACTATTGTGTTTTAAAAGAAAAAAAAGACAGGATCGAGGCTCACAAGATGTCAAGAGGTTCCTACAGGAAATGTGTATGTGTGAGAGAGTGAAAAAGATAAGGAAAATAAACAAATGCATTTAACAGGACCCAGTAACAAAACTGGTGCAAACAAAAAGAAGAAGTTTTTAAAAAACACAGCGAGGCATTAAAGAAAAGAGTCTAAAGGAAGAATACAAAATAGTTTAAAGGGGAGGTATTATGTAAAATCAACTTTTTTAAACTTATATAATTTYATGATGTCATTCCCTCATCAAAAACATAACCAGACTAGTTATGTTTACATGGACATACAGTAAGTAATCGGAAAAAAAATGTAAAGGCCTCAATATTCTGATCTGATTCAGCTTGATCTGAATGAATTTGTAATCAAAATGAAACAGGTGGTTAATGCTTGACAATCAGAAAGGCGTGCATGTARACACTTATTCTGATCATGTTATTCTGGTTGTGGTAAACTGACCTRTCTGCATGTGTGCTCAATGCCAACCTGACATATTTCCACCTGGCTAGATGCTAATATGTCAGACAAGCAAAATTGGTTGGTTAGGTTTAACATTTCTGTTAGAAACTTTGAAAGAGAATGCCYTGGTGGTTGAAAGTGTAGGAACACAGAGTTATTTCGGCATTTGTTTACTTTCACGTTTCTTCATGTTCATCACGGAAGTACACCTCTGCACATGTCAGTACTTAAAAACCTGGTGCATGKAAATGTCATTAATTTATTTTGTGCCCATATTTAGGATATATTCAGCTTATTTAATCCAAATATTTTTTATCTGATCAAAGAATGTGAACATAACCAAAGTGTTGCTTTGACTCATTCATTCATGTTTGAGAAATCTTTTAATCCCCTGTGGTAGCCATGCGGAGCTGCCCAAACACTTGCCGATACAAAGCTCCACCTATTTGCACAAAGCTCCTCCCTGCAGCTCAGTCTGCAGCTGAACTCTCGCCCCACAGAGCACCCCTCCCCTGAAGATGTGCTGAAGTGGGAGTGTCAGAAAYGATAGGAGGTTGTTAAAGAGRCATATGCCCATTTCAAGATGTTTAGATAGACCATGATGCAAAGTCAAATTTATTTTTGATATATTTTTTCATTTTCATAACAACTGAATGTAACGTGGTTATTTGACTGTGGAGTAGAATTGAAATATGTGCCTGGAAATTACATAATAACCCCCATTTTAATAAAAAAAAAGATAGCACCCGCAACTATACACTCACCAGCCACTTTATTAGGTACACCGGTCCAACTGCTCATTGACGTAAATGTCACATCAGCCAATCACATTACAACAACTCAACGCATTTAGGCATGTAGACATGGCCAAGACGATCTGCTGCAGTTCAAACTGATTATCAGAATGGGGAAGAAAGGTGAAAAGTGGCTTTGAACGAGGCATGGTTGTTGGTGCCAGACGGGCTGGTCTGAGTATTTCACAAACTGCTGATCTACTGGGATTTTCACCCACAACCATCTCTAGGGTTTACAGAGAATGGTCCGAAAAAGAGAAAATATCCAGTGAGCGGCAGTTCTGTGGGTGTAAATGCCTTGTTGATGCCAGAGGTCAGAGGAGAATGGCCAGAGTGCTTCGAGCTGATAGAAAGGCAACAGAAACTCAAATAACCACCCGTTACAACCAAGGTAGGTAGAAGAGCATCTCTGAACTCACAACACGTCCAACCTAGAGGTGGATGGGCTTCAGCAGCAGAAGACCACACCGGGTGCCACTCCTTTCAGCTAAGAACAGGAAACTGAGACTACAATTTGCACAAGCTCATCRAAACTGGACACTGGAAAATTGGAAAAATGTCATCTGGTCTGATGAGTCTCGATTTCTGCTGCGACATTCGGATGGTAGGGTCAGAATTTGGCRTCAGTGACAAGAAAGCATGGATCCATTCTGCCTTGTATCAACGGTTCAGGCTGCTGCTGGTGGTGGTAGTACAATAGTGTGAGGGATATTTTCCTGGCACACTTTGGACCCATTAGTACCAATTGAGCATTGTGTCAATGCCACAGCCTACCTAAGTATTGTTGCTGACCATGTCCATCCCTTTATGACCACAGTGTACCATCTTCTGATGGCTACTTCCAGCAGGATAACGCACCATGTCATAAAGCGTGAATCATCTCAGACTGGTTTCTTGAACACAACGAGCTCACTGTACTTGAATGGCCTCCACAGTCACCAGATCTCATCAATAGAGCACCTTTGGGATGTGGTGGAACGAGAGATTCTCATCATGGATGTGCAGCCGACAAATCTGCAGCAACTGTGTGATGCCATCATGTCAATATGGACCAAACTCTGAGGAATGCTTCCAGCACCTTGTTGAATCTATGCCACGAAKGATTAAGGCAGTTCTGAAGGCTAAAAAATGGTCCAACCCAGTACTAGCAAGGTGTACCTTTAGTGGCCGGTGAGTGTATGCTGTGTAATCTATTACAGAGAAGTCATGTAAAGTTATTGTGGTTTTTACACAAACATGTTAATGATGTTCCAAAAACACATTCATCATTCATGCAGTTAGAGCTGTTCTCAACTCCTCCACACACACTCTCAACCTGTTTCATTCAATTCAGCTCCCAATCTCCTCCTCAAACTCAGTCCGTATAATATAACCTCTTCARTAGTCATTTTAAAACTCAGTAGTGCATCACTGGCTTCATGTCACGGTCAGGTCTTCTTCCATAAGATTCCRCTTGCGCTCCTCATCTCTTTGTGTTTTCTGGAAACACATTTTTTCTAGTCAAGTCTGCATCCATCATACCAGGTACAGCATCATTTTCAGAATCCAGTATAGTGCATGTTTGGCTAACTATGACCATCATTACAGCCATTAAAACATGTAGACGGTGAAGTCTTTCATCCAAACTCTTTTGTTCATTTGAACTTACTTGTTTAAGAAACTGGTCTCAAGATAAATTGTTTTTTTACAGTACACACTTTTTAAAGAATCATGTTTTGTGTGCTAAAATCTCAAACTCTGGACCCAGCACGAATTTGACCACACACCTATGTCACGACTTCCGCTCACAGCCAACATGTGATCAGTTTCAGCTCAGAGATGTGGGAGTAAAAGGTGGTGGTGGTGAGGGGGGTTGACTCACATCTCTTATTCCTTCCAGTCTTTTCAGTTCTGGCCCAGGATATGATTACCGGTCGCACAAGGCCTGCGGTTGATCTGTTGGTGTAAACTGAGCAGAATACTGTTTAAACCGGAATTCGTGTGCAGCACTGTATCCTGATGTGGCAAACCGTGTGTGTGTGTGCACGACGCTGAGGTGGATGCTGTTTTTTTTTTTGTTAGTTTTGTTTTGTTTTTACATTTTGCAGGGTGTTGGAACTGGTTGGGCCATGTGGTTGAGCTGTCATGTCCCCCTCATGGGGTTGAATGTTGTCTTCCTTTCCTTGCGTTTACTAGTAATGATACAGATGGTGCTCTTTCTTCCATCTGCCAAAAATAATGAATATGCAAAAGAAAGTGTGGAGTCAAAACTGATATCAGGTGAATGTGTGTACTCCACAAGTTCTGGGTCTTGTGACACGGCGGTGATTGATTGCATTGAGGGCTCACCTGCACTAGCCTCCCTCTTAATCTTTCTTTCTTTAAAATACACACCCACTATAACACACAAACACACACACACACACACA